ACCGTCCGTGGCGGGGAGCCTCAGTATTTATGGTGCTTGTTGTGGCAGCAGGTCAGTGTTGCTAGAGAACGAGGAAACAGGCGGTTGTGGAAACACCGAGTCGGACGGGTTGTGACATACCCCAGCTCCATCAGAAATTCTGCAGAAGGCCTGAGGGGTTTTGGGAAAACTGCAGCTTCCCACTCCCAGCCTGAAAAAAGGCTGATTGGATCAGTAGGGAGCAATAACTGAATTCAGGATGTTAGGAGGAAATTACTGAAAGAGAGAAAAACTCAGATGGCAGAAGCGAATATGGGAATTAGGCAGCTCTGCTGCAAGCAATTTTCAATCAATTTCTTGGAACATGAAAACATATCGCAATTTTTTAAAATACATTTTGTACACGTACATGGGACAGACCTGCTCCAGCTTATTCTTTGTTTTAAAGCAAAGTGCAAGAGTCCTGACAAGTACAACCATTGCACGGGGCACTGCAGAAACAGAACACGGCGAAGGGTTTGCATGCTTTATGCTTCCAGTGCTATTTTTGTTTGAAAAGTTAACCCTCTATTTAGACAGGTGGGATCCCATTTAACTGCATCTCGTCTACGTGTGCAGTGAGGTGGCAGGAGGAGCAGCACGTGCCAGTTGTCTCCACAATGATGCCAGGGAAGTGCAAATGCCTCCTCCCAGGGTGTCCACGGGGGTCCCTTCGTCACGGCGTTACTGGAGGAGGGCAGACCCATCACAAATAAACTGATTCAAAGCTACAGATAAATCTTCCCATGCACTTGCCATCACATTTCCCACGGGTCGTATATGCAGCCTGAGGGAAGGAAAAGTTTTTGAAAGATTTTTGAAAACCCACCCAGTTTGAGGCGACTTTTAACACCACACTTTAGAAAAGCCCAAACCAATTCCTCCTTCAAACACTAGAGGCTGTTTTCAGGCATTGTCTTGTTTTCCCCCATCTCATCCCTTGCTCCAACCTTCTGCCACGGAGGGGCTGCTTTTACAGGACCCGTGTTTTGGGATGGTGGAGCCAAGCTCCTGAAGTACAACGCAAAGTGGCGTTTCTCACGCGTTAGATCGTAACCAGCAGGAAGAGATTTTAAAATCAATCTTTGTTCTGAAGTTACATGGTCGAGCAAAAGTAAAAACTTTTAGGAAAACAAAAAAAGGACCAAGTTTTCCCCTTTCCTTCCATGTTGCAAGATTGATCTAGGATGCTTCTAGCCTTCATTCGTTCCTACCAAGGGCCCAGCATCGCCGAACTTCATCTCCTTTAAGGACTGCAAAGCCCTTCTTGGAGCCCTTTTCTTACACCAGTTTGACTGCAACATCTTTCCTACAGACACTTCCACAAGTGCCCAACCTCACAGCCCTGGTACCTTGCCTTTAACCTCACAAGTGGGATTCTTTGACTCCTTGTTTAGCAATCCAGACAAATACAATGGGGTTTCGGTCTCAGCCCGGCGATGCTGGCAGGTTGGAACTAACTCCATCTTTGAGAAACGATGCAGCAATGGGGAAAATCCCTCCTGGCCGTGCTGCACCTGCACAGGGACATTTCTGGACCTGGACTTAACCATCAGCCTCATCCAGGCTCCAGTGATGGAGTGAGACCTTCCAGTGGGTGTTTTGTCTTTATTACTTGTAATTAACAGACACTGTTTCCAACACAGCTGACACTCACCCTTTTTATGGGTAAAATAATCCTTTGCAACGGATGGGGAATCTGTTGTAGCAGCACTTCTGCCACGTCCAGCTTCTCCTGGCTGCCCACGATCTCGCTGGTGTGGAACAAGGTTAGTGTTAGTGCGTTGCCTCTCGCTGCCAGAGCAAGGACAGAAGCCCCAGTGCTCTTAAGGCTGCCTGGTACAAAGTTATCTGATTTGCTTTTCAATTTGGCAAAAAAAAGGAGTTAAACAAAATCTATAATAACACAAGGGCAAGGAAACAATTGATAAATTAAAATACATTTCATAGGAAGCAAAGCTTTTTTAAGAGGAGGAGGTTAATACATTCAAACCTGAGCTTTGAACCAGATGCCCAAGGAGCAAAAAATACAAATTATACGGAGAAAACTTGTAGAAGAAAAGAACATGACAAAAAATAATATCACTTACTTCCACAAAATGATGCAACTTTAGACCATTTAAAGTTTTCAAAGCAGCCAGCTTGGGGGAGGATGCCAGAGATCCCCATGTACTTTGGAAGACACATGGATCCTTGGCTGGTCCCAGGAGAACGATAGTTTTGGGTTTTGTACAAAGGTACAACAAATCTGGACACTGAGGTAGCACAGCTCCTTGGCACTGGAGAGAAACACGGGAAAAAATGAAAGCTCCAGGTATAGGACTGTGAGTAACCGGGGAGTCCCATTGATGAGTTCCCCTGAACTCCAAACAAGTCCCCAGGACTGACCTGGCGTCCTGGAGAAAGAAGAACGAGAGAAAGAGATGGTATTTTGGAGTGCCTTTTTATAAAGGCTGAGCTTCATTTCATACGTGGAAGCCTTCTTAGAGGGTTGGATGCCATTTCCACGGGAATCTGGAAAGAAAGAAAACCACAGAGTGAAATTCCTCGAATGTTTTTTTTCATAGAAATATGAAAAAGGAGCAAATCAAGTTGGGAAACACGAGACAATGTAGAATCATTTCAACTCACTTTGAGGAGCAGGACTCCTTTCCATTCCTTTTGCTCCAAGTTTGATGGACGTGCTTTTCTCTAGGGTATAAAGAACAAGCATTGCTGGGAGCACTGCCCCTTTCCTGCACAGACCCTTCATTCCTTACTCACTCGAGCAGCACTGCGTTTTTTTTCTCTTTAAAATTGCAACATGACTTACACCAGACACGTCCTGAACTGAGCAATCACAGGATGTTAGCTGGTGCATACTAAACACCCAACTCGTAGTGAATACTGAACTCAGATGACACCACCTTTGCACTCAGGCACAGCTCCGCTCCAGACTCCGGTGGTTTTGTCCGTACTCGTACAACGGATGCTCACGTTTCCAACGAGCTGGAAGCCAGAGTCACAGCTGTAAGTCACTGTGGAGTTATACACATGTTCTTCTACACCTTCGCCATCGTGCTTTCCGTTGCTGATTTGAGGAGGTGAAGAGCAGGTGATTACTGCAGGGAAGAAGGTCGACATGAATATTGCTAAAAGCTTCAGTAGTAATGAAAATGGAAAATGTTTCCTGATTCCAGCTAAGGCTCTTGAAGACAATAAACTTTCTGGACAGCTGCAGAGAGGTGACCAGCACTGCCTTCTGTCTCCATTCTCTCTCTTGTTTGTGTAGTGTTTCTGTTGTCACATCTTTCTCCCTCTCACTCCAAGGGTCACAAAAAATAAACAGGCAACTTGTCATGCCCTGGCTTGTGATTCCTTGAAATCTCATCCCACCAGCTTCCCTGCAACCTGAAGTCATGAGAAAATATGTTGATCTTGTGGGAACAAAACTGCTGAAATACAGTGTCAGCAGCAAAATGGGTATTTCTCAGCTGCAGCGTTGGTGACAGATCTGCCACATGATATCAACAAAAACAATGTGTGAAGGCAGGTTTAGACTAGAGGTTAGTATGCAGGATCTGGAGTGAAGTCAAAAGTAAGGTTGGATTGATCTTACATTCACAAGTTGGAAGTTTACTCCATTCAACATCGTTTCCTTTAAGCTGACACTGGATGAAATTATTCCCATCTAATTTGTACCTAAGTGAAAGTACACAAGAAAATAAAAACGTGTATAACTATCCAGAAACTGAGAACAATTTTTTTCCCTGATACCAGTATGACCAGTGGTGTAGAAAAGGCAGTTTCAAAGCAAGCAGACGTGCAGATACACGCTGGTTAACAGGAGAGCTCCTTCACCCCAGCCACCTCCAGTGCCACCTTTTCTCAGGATGCTGTTTTTGGGTGCTACAGCTGGAGCTGCTTTGCTAAAGTTTTGCCAGAAAAGCAAACAGCAGGATGCTGCTGGTGTACCTTCTGCTGGTCTCTGCAAATACTCAAACGTTTCCACTACACAGAGTGGGGACCAGTGAGGGGCAACGGGGATCTACGTTTCATTAAAGTGGCTTTTGGATCGGCTTGCTGGAAGCTAATACATCTTGTTCTGACAGCACCAACACCTTCTCCCATCCCTGAATTACATCCTCCTGCTCAAAAAAAAATTCACCGTTCGGACATGATTGATAGTATCTGATCTTGCATAGATGGATAACGTTATCCCTCCACCCTGATGTGTATTGCCAAGGACTAACTGAACCCCAGAAGGGTGGGACACGCTGTCATTTCCCCAGAGCCCATCCTAAGGGAATATCTGGAGAAAAAAAACTCTGTTACATTTGAAGCAGCTGCAAATACTGACAGAACAAGCCAGCTAGCTCCTGCTAGGGAGGGAGGAATGCTAGCCTGAGTCTCAACACTTCATTTTGCAAGTCAGTCTACTGCATATGGGCGCTGATTGAATGCACGCAGGAAGTGTGAGTCAGCTCACTGACCCATGGAAAGTGTGCTTCAGGGCAGTCTAGCTGAACATCATTAAGTTTTTAAAATTCAAGCATAACCCCTTTTTATTCAATATATCTCTAATATGTTAAATTGAAAAGTTTTAAGTAACCTATTCTGAAGTTCATAGTTGTAAACTGACAGTACAACCAGCTCTAACGGGATAGATACGCTGGAGCGGTTACATTTCCTTCTGGATGACACTTGAAGGAAAAGGCAGCTATAAATTCAGACCCCAGTCCCTTCTCCGAAGCTGTGTCTTATTCCTTCCCAGCCCAAAGCTGTAATTCAAGTGGGAAAAGCAGCCCCACGCTCTGTACTTGGAGCAACACGTGGAATAGCTGCCCAGCCTGTGTCCACCAGCTCATTGCACCAGCCCGGGGTGTGTATTGCAGCACCAGCACTGGTGTACTGGAGCTCAGGGCATTGCCCCACCGCTCACCCGTCCTCGCAGAACACGTTCACTCTTGCACTGAACCGCAGGTCCGTGAGAGGGACCGTCCTGCCCCCGGGCAGCGCTCCGGGCTCGCCGCAGGATTTCCCTGCGGAGAACGAGGTCAGCGTTAGCGGCAACGCACAGCCATGGAGGAATAAAAAAGGCAAAATAAGGGACAGACTTGGAGGGTTTTACCCAAAGGTACCAAAGTGTTTTACTCCACACATGCCACAGCAGAGCTGGCAGGAGCCAGGATCGGCCCTAGGGGAAGGTGGATCCCCGTAAGGGCTCCCTGCGGCAAACATCTCGCGGGAAAGCAGAGGAGAATATTTGCAGAGATATTTCCATCTTAACAGGCTGGCAGGAAGTTACTCAACTGTGCAAAAGGTGTTGCTGCCACATCATCAGTCTTAACGTGGATTTCACCAAGAAATATGCTCTGTCTGCATTTTAAGTTCAAAGTTAGAATTGCAAATTGGCCTTTGCCCTCTGCATGTGCCCTGTCCCGACGTGGACATATTTACTAACATGAAAACCAAACCAGATCTGTTCATGTCAGCAGAAAAAAAGAAACAAAAAAAAGAGCATTATTGATACTCCTGCTGTTCAGTCCTAAATATTAAAGTCAAGGAGCATCCACCTACTTTTGTATGAAGGATGCAGCTGTTGGGATGACAATGACCCAGCTGCATTTCAGCATGAGGGCTGGAGCAGCTACCTGACCTGCTCTGAGCCCCACCACTGTTTTTTGGCAAAACAACAGACATACTCACTCCTGCCTGCACAGCTCAGCAGCTTCCGACCACGCCAGGTTTTCAAGGCACGTGCTGGTGGGGGAACTTTCCGAGGTGTTCTCGTAGCCAGGGCGGCAGACGTAGCTCACGTTGGTCCCAACAGGAAAGAAGTTCATCCTCTCGTCCGCCTCGGACAGGGCAGCAAACCGCAACCTGGTCGGGGCAGCACAGCTCCCTGGCAGTCAAGGAAAGGGCCTGAAAGATCTGCCAGCTGGGACACGCGCAGAATAAACCTTGGCATCACAGAAACGCTACGGCACTTTTGGAAAGCTCCTCACGTTCATCACGGGTTACTTCTGTTTTCCTACCAGGCTGCTGCTCCACCGAGCGCATCGTTTGCAAAGCACGGATGAAGATGCGTTAACGGCACTGGCCAAGCTGGAGCAGCAGAGCGGAAGCCGCGGGATGCGCGTGACGTGAGCATCCTGGGCTCCGACCGACCCCATCCACGAAGGCACGGATCCCACACCCATCAGCAGCTCAGGGAAGCGGGAAGCTTGCAGGGAAGCGGAGGTGCCATCGCAGCCGTAAGGGGTGGAAATTTTCAGCCAAGCAAGAGACAGGGAGGGAGCCGTGTTTCAGAGAAAGGAGGTATTTACGGCCGCAGGGCTCGGGCAGCTTGGACCAGCGCGCGCCAGGCAGGCACTCCACCGTGTCCGACCTCCCGGGGATTTTGATGGTGCCTTCCACGCACGTGTACGTCACCCTGGATCCGACAGGGAAGCTGCTGGCGTGCTCATCGCTGGATGGTCTGGAGTAGGTCATGCGAGGTGGGGGCCCACAGTCACCTGTGGCAGGAGAAGACCTCCTCGGGTGAGGACCCTGTTCCCCAGCCCCTTCTGCAGCCCCAGCGAGCATCCCAGGAGGATGGCGGGCTGTGCCAGGCTTCTGGGCAACAGAGCTGCATCCGTGAGAGCATCAAGCAAATGGTCCCCAGGCTTGGGGGTGGTGGCACCACTCTCCCCAACACCTGAGCAGCAAGGTAGGACCTGGGCAGGTCTCGCTGGTCCTTCCCATGCATCCCATGCCCCCATACTCACTGCGAGCCACAGGCATGCCCAGGAGCCCCAGCAAGGCCAGGAGCAGTACGGGGTGGCCAGACCCCCGTGCCACAGTGGGTGTCCCGCAGCTCGGGGTTCCTGGGTGCTTCCCCTGTCCTGGTTCTCCAGACTTCATTGCAGCAATTTCTTTGCTCCTCTGTCAAGCACCGCTGGCTCCAAGGAGCTGTTTCTGAAGCTGGGAGGAGATGCAGCACGGCAGGCTCGGCCAAGCCTCTGGAGCAGTGGAAACCTTTCCAGAACACCCATGAAGCCAAACCCTCTGGCAAGGACACAGAGAGCAGACAGGGGTGGGTGACAACTGTCATCCACAGGCTCAGATAAAGCCTCCGGATCCTCCTGCCCCACCATAAGGGATGAGGGAATAACTCAATCCTTTTATTTGACCTGAGACTGGCAGCGAGCGCTGAGTAGCACAGTTTTACCTAAATCAGATGCTACCAGAGCAGAAAACATCCCCACCCAGCCCCAAGTTGTATCCAGGGTAGGAAAACACCTACTTCGCTATTCGCTGGCAGGTAACACAACACCGATCTTCCGTAAGCAGAGTTAGTGAAACAAAAACTTAAAGCATTTTCCTTTTTGTTTGCTTGTTAATTTTTTTCTTGATTGCCTGACTCATTTGTAATGAGGAACGGGTGTGAGCGAACACATCTGCGAACTGACTAACTCTGAAATATCCCGTCTGACATCAGTCAGGACTGTTCAAACACACTCCTGGATACACGCGGGACGTAACACCCAGCTCTTGTTCGTGTTTATGGGCTTTGAGCCTTGCACAGGTTGACAGGACACGTTCTGTTTGCAGCCCCCGCTGAGCTCATCGCGGGGGGGAGCGAGGTGTCACACCGGCTCTCCCTGTGGCACGGGGAGAACTGGAGAGGGTCTGAAAGTGCCTCTCGTTGCAGATCTCACCGGGATGTAGTGAAGCACAGGATGCAGCACGAAAGCATCTTTCTGTGTAAAGACAGGAGATGCCATCTCTTCCCTGGGCGTTGTGCTTTAGGCTCTAGTAACGCTTAAAGCAACTCATAAAAGCAGCATCTGGCAATGACACACCGCTGCAAATTGTGTGTGCAGGAGACAAGTGCTCCCCCCTGCCCCCCCTCTCCCAGGCAGCAGCCCACTGCTGTGCTGCACGGTGCCCGCAACCCCGCGCTGCCATGCCATGCCATGCCATGCCATGCCATGCCATGCCCACTGCAGCCCTCCAGTGCCCCGAGGACCAATCCAGGCTGCTGGGGCTCGGATCTCAATCAGAACAACCCCTGGACCACACTGCAAATCTGCCTGATTTACAGCCAGCGTGACAGATCACAAGACGCCCACGGTTACACCTGCATCTTTATTGTAATCCTGAGGGAAGGAAAAATTGCTGCACCACAGAGCTACGTAAACTGATCATCGTTTAGTAAGTCATAAGAACAATCTTTGCTGTCTGATTCTCTACACTTCAAACTTCCAACATCTATTCTTAGCATCTGCTTGCTGGAAACAGGGACATGGAAGATGACACCACCGCGGATATCTGCTGGGTACAGCGCTGGGCCAGGAACCTGTCGCCTGTTTTAAATCCAGGGATTGGGGAATAGAAGCCTTTACAAACACACTTCTTATATATAACTGCCCTTAACTAGATGAAAAGAAACCACGAGCTGGATGAACAGGAAATCGTGCAGCTGAACGCTCACTTCACTGCTGTTTCTAGATAGAAGCATGCTAATGCTGCGACAGGCTGAGTCCGGTACGGACAGAGGATGTGACATTGCACGAACCACCGGCTGGAAGATGACAGCAGAAGTACCTCCAGAGAGCCAGAGACTCATCTCAGCTGGAAGTTTCCTTCTGTGGACTCCAGCCCCCCTTCTCTCAGCTCAGCACAGTTTACGCAGTGACTCAAAGAAGCTCAATTTAATTTCTTACTGTGCTTCCTAAAATAAAACGTGCAACCACAGATCTGTTCAAAAGTGAACCAAGCTTGTCAGACTTCAGGTAAAAAAGAAAAACCCCTCTATGCTCTAGCATCTAGCATGGCAAAAGCAGTCTCCCATACATTGGTTATTGTTTCTCTGGCTATATGCAAGCAAGCATGAACCATGAAGTCACCGAGAGCCGCCTTATAGATGCTATGACTACATGAGCTGCATGTTCACCAAAAGTGATCGTGACAGGACTCACTAGTTCCAGTATTCCGATTCGAGTTTTAGTTTTTTAATCTCCATAAAGAGCTTTTGTATTTCCAGTAGAGTTTTCAGGTCTGCTATAGGCACGCCGCATTCAGAGACAGTTTTAATATGATGAATCTCTTCGCATACATCAGCATCACCTTCTTTCTTCTGTTAAAAAGTAAAACAGAACAAACAAATCCCAGAAAAAAAGCATGTAAGGTTGCCCTGCAGCAGATGGAGAGCCACCCACTCCTCAGCTCTGAGCCTCAACTTCTGTCCCATCTGCCGTGCGCTGTCCCAAGGCAATCTGCATCCCCCACTGGAGCCGTAAAGCAAAAAAGCTTCTAAGAAGTTCAAGCAGTTCTTTTTAAATATCAGAAATCAGGCAACACCCATTCAGGAGCTCAGCCAGACTGTGGTACTTACACACTTGGGCAGTGGTGTCCAGCTGCCATCAGGCAAGCATGTGGCTGTCCCAGGGTCTTCTAAAGACATGTCTCCGTTGTCTGAAAAGTCGTATCCATGAAGGCATTCAAAAGTAACGGTTGCATTTATTTGGTACCACGTTTTACTGTCCAAAGTGCTTTTCAGCCTTCCGTTGGCCACTTGTGGTTGTGGACAGAGAACTGAAAGGAAAACCCACAGCAGAAGGGTCATCATTGCATAGGCAGAAAAAAAACCCTAAGAAATTTGTGAAGACTGAGCCTGCGCAGGTGAACTTAAATCTAGGGAGCTGTGAAACCAGAAGTTAAAGCAAAGTTGACTTCCCCAGGCCCTTCAAGAGGTGGGGTGAAGGTCAGACCAGCCCTTGAGAGGTGTTAACACATTTGCTGTTTTCTAACAGCATCTCAATTCAGGTATCCCTTTGCAAGAGCCTGCAGATCAACGTTTGTCGGTAAGAACGTGCACTGAAGAGAAAGTCACTAACGATGGTGTCTCCTGACCTGTCCTAGAGCCTCCTTTGTACAGGACTGTCAAGAAAAGTTCAGCTATTGCCTGGCAAACATCAGCTGTTTCTTCTGCAAAGATGGGGGAGACGCTGGTGGAGCCCCAAGAACAGACCCAACCATGCAAACCTGCACCCCGACCTCTGCACAGTCACAGCAGCCGCTGGATCAGATCCTGGCTGGGACCCACCTGGCTGGCAGGGGG